AGGTAGGCAGATGTGGCCCATGAAAACCTTCCCTTGGCGATCTACCTTGGGAGACACATTAATGCAATGAGCTTCTTTTGGGTAAGAATGAAATGAAGACAGTCATTAGTCAGTTAATATTAATAGATATAATCACTTCATCATGAACGGCACTCCAGTCAGACCTTTAAAGACTTTTCTCACTCCCCGTGCAACATCTGCACATTTTAAAACATTTATTTGACCTTTGTTTTATTAATCCTCTTTGGTGTGGGGAATATTCTTGTGCACGGTGCAGCTGAATGTCCCATGAAGGTTGCAAGAGCATTGCAGAGCGAATATTATAATTAGAAGCATACCATAATGTCTTTCACAACTCTTACAATGCACAGACACAAACACGGTATAACTGTTGCCTTGAGATTATATTATGGTTCTCCATATGTTTTCAGTACAACTGGGAGCTATGACTAACAATTATTTGCTGCTGTTAATTAGAGGAAGAATTTAACATACTGGGAAGGACAGGTTTCAGTTTATAGTTGGATGACAAAAATTCAGTTGCAGCTGAAAAATGAATCCATTATAGGAAGCGTGTCAGACTGATGCTGGCTATAGGAGAGAGAGAATCTGCATAAATTCACATATTAAATGAGCTGCTTTGATACACAGCCTGTTATAAAGAAAAGCAGTTTTGGCTTGTATAGCAAATATTACCCTTCATAATAAGAGTATGGAAAGGGTTGAATTTTTATACCTAAAGTAAAATGTTATAACTGACTCATTCCTCTGAGATGAACTATGCCTTCTGCTCAGCTGTCTTCAATTTGCATCAAAGTTTTATGATAGAAAATTTGAGTGTTTATATGAATGCTGTGATATTGTAGCTTCATATATCATACACATAATTATCTCATAACCTTTTGAAGATAAGAGTCTGAAATGTTCAGTGCTCTTTTTTATCATCAAAATGAATCAGAATCTGTAATTTGGGATTAATACATTAAAAAATTTCTGAGTATTAGCTAATTAAAATATGAAAAAAAAACACACATGAACATATATTTCATGTTTAAAGTCACAATAAGTCAAGTAACCCTTTTTGTTTTTGTTCTATTTATTTATGTGAAAAGTGCTTGACATATAAAGCTAGAACGTTACAGTAAAATTTCACAGTAATCATTATATATGTTTAAAAATATGCTGATATTTAATAAAAAATATATATTTTCTGCCTTTATTAAAACAGTTCCATCTAGAAACTCCAGAATTTTGTTCTAATTGCAAAATTGTCTTTTGCAATGTAAAGTTTTTTTATTACTGTGTACTCAAATATGGGAAGTTAAAGTATTGAGGTTGAATGATTTTTTTCCAGATTTTAACCAGCCAGTACTGAGACATTTTTTAATGTACCTGCCCCAAATTATAGATCCACATTTATTCTGATGGGGGAAAAAAAGTGAAAATGTTAAGCTAATTGTTTTGCAGCATGGTGGTTAGCACTGTTGCCTCACAGCAAGAAGGTCCTGAGTTCAATTCCATCAGGCCGGGGTCTTTTTATGTGGAGCTTGCATGTTCTCCCCGTGGGTTCTCTCCGGGTACTCTGGCTTCCTCCCACACACCAAGGACATGCACTTAGTGGGGATAGGTTAATTGGAAACTCTAAATTGCCCATAGG